GATAAAATTAAAATTTTAATACGATTATATAATACAGTATTTAAAAAATTAAACGAAATAATAACAGAATAACACGAGAAAATGGGCAAACAAGAAAAGATAGCGAGTCAGCAATACCGAATAATATAACAAATATTGTTCATATTGTTAGAAAGTGTTCCTAAATTGTTTTCAACAATTCGAAGAAGCGAGAGGCGTGTGGAAATTACACGTCATTACTCATGCATATATAGAATTAACAGGAAACAAGAGTATTAGAAGTCACGTGTCAACCTGTCAAAAGTAGCAACGTATCCGTAGTAGCTGTACGATGTAGAGTGTATCGAGGTCCGGGCTTTTTGGGGACGTGGTCATTTATAAATCGCTTCGAAAGATAAAATAATACTTTTCAAATATTTCAAATTAAACTACGGAATATTTGAATACGTACGTCTATTTCGTTTGTAGGTCTAATAGAAAAAAACGAAAAAGTAAACTTGGTGCGGTTTCTGAAACAAAATTCTTTCATCGAGACCCTCAACACTTTCTTTGTAATTGTTCAAAAAGGAGAAATATATTTTAAAACATTTCGTAAAAAGTATTAATTAAGTAATAACATGAATTTTAAATTAAATATAATTTTTAAAATAACATTTTTTACGAGGTAGTTTCTTCAGTTAACTTTGCGGTTAATTATGCGGAAAGAAATTACGAATATTTTTCCTGAATATTCTATTGGTAGAAGACACGCACGTGTCAAAAACGTCAAAGTTGCACGTAAACAAATGTTTATGTTTTAAAATAACTCACAAATTGAAATAAATTTTGTTGCGATGGTCACACTTCCCTCTGAATAATTCACCAATCGTAATTGAAATTATTAATTAAAATTATCGTATTGTTAATTAAATTTATATCGATAGACAATCATATTTACTGCTGTTATAAAGGAATTATAAAGAGGTATGTAATTCTAAAAATTATTTAATGTATTTATAGCGGAAAATCAGATAAAATTAAGTTAGTTTTTCTTCTTATTGCATGCACAACAGTATCAAATTTATAGTAAAAATCAGAAAGAATATTCAATTATATATTTATTATATCATACGACCCATCTTACTGTATTTACTCCTTTATTATTTTAAGTTTAATACTAATTATTATAAAATGTTTCATTAATTCGAAAGTAAGAATTTTCTACAGTTTTCTATTGTTAAGTCGTAGATGAAGTAATCAAAATAGCTTTAAAATTTAATTTAAAGTTTATATCCAATCCTTTATGTAATGCTTACACCAATTTAAGGATTTGAACTCTTTTATTGCGTTTATTTATTATATGATAAACAAAAGTGTTTTATAATTGCTGATAACTTTTCTCTGTTTCTGAATTTACGGATTTTAATTAATATTTTGTCAAGTTAAAATTATAAATGAATACAAAATATTAACGAACTGAATTAAATAAATTGTAAATTAACAAAAATCCAATAAAATTAGACTTATCCAAATATTTAAATTACTCATTGTTTCCACTTACGCTATCCACACGTACAATAATATACGCAGAAGCTTGAAAATAAAATAATATTTAAAGACTTATTAGAATTTTCTCTATAAATAATACATAATTATAATTTATTTTTAATTCTCTTAATCATGAAATTACTTGATGATAATTAGCGAGACTCCTAATCGATTTAGTCACGATCGTAAAGAATATAAAAGTTTTTTATGTTTATGAAAATATCTGTAATTTAGATATGTTCGGGAGATAACGAACAGGTTTTCTAATCCTCCACGGAACTTTAAAAACTTCATTATATATTATTTTATTGACGATCTTAATTAACATTCGACATTTACTCAATTAATATTTTGCTAAACATGATTAAACATAAAACTTGATGACTGAACAGAATATTACATAATTTTTTATCGTTCATCGTATTTATTATCTTATGCTTATAAAAAATTTTTATATTCATACGAAATCATCGTAATTAAAATGTTTAATACTACAAGTTTCGTTCAAAATGTAATGCACCAGAATTTATTTTGATGGTAGGATGAAACATACAATCATGAAACGTAGGAATCTCATGTTATTTTTCAACCAAGTTTACGCCCTCGTATTTGGCCATACGTCATTATTAAATGAAAGACACGTTTGCCGGCTCGAATACTAGTCCTAATTCTGTGCATGGAAACACTTTCTCGTATCACTGAGAACATCTTCATCTGACTGGAACTTTATCTTTGGCTTGCGTTATCAGAAGCAAACCAAGAACTCTTTACCATCAAACTGCTAGCGTTACAAGAATTTGTATGCGATGGTTTTCCTTGCTGCTGTTAGGTTAATCGTGAGCTGCTTCAGGACCCATCGTGAACACATTTTGACATATACATGCTTACATATGATTAGATGAACACTCTCGGCAATCGGTGATTCTTCTTGAATCGGTTAATCAAGTCGCTGCTTTGTGGTTACCATAACAGATGTGGCTCCAAATCGCAGTGATATGGTATTCCTAATGTCGTTGTTTGTTTGTTAAATTATTGCAACGCAACATTTTGGGCAATCTGCTTTGCGGGGATGCTTTCCGGAAGCTCTTTTTAAGGAAAATTGGCTCCTATTTTAACGTTAGAAACGTAAAGAAAACTTAGAAAACTTCACATGGACAGCCCGTTCGACCAAGGCGCGAACGCACGACCGAAATCCCAGTGTTCTAGGTACGAAGACACCTCGACCACTCGTGGGCCCTATTATCACTGACTTCGTACAATTCTTTCATCGACTCACGACGCTTCGGTTGACAGGTTGCAGTAACATAGTCACCACACAATCGTTTGTGAATGCTTCTAACAGCTGCACTTCAGCAACAACAAATTTTATTACTGTATGTTATTGGAACGTACTGCACGTCACTGGTATTCGTCATTTTTTAACGAAGCTGTTGCGGTTCCGCCTGGCAAAGATCTTTAAAATTTTCACAACGTTTTCAAAAGGCTTCGGGTACAACTACTGAAAATAGGAGCCAAGTCACAGCCTTCGTTGCCACGATTTAAATTATGCTCCATTACTTTTTGAACAACCTTTGTAAAAGTGCATGTTTTTAATTAACGTCATATTTAATGACATTTTCTAATAATTTCTTTATTAACTTTTACAGAACGTTTTGTATTTTCTTTTATATTTATAACTTACGCATAGATTTAAGTCCTATTTAAATAAATTCGAATCGAGACGAATCGTGATTGGAGTTTTACTGTACATAATAAAGAATTGTTCATCATATTAACCTAAATTCGTTATAAATGAATTTAGTTGCTAATGATATAAATTTTTATTATTTAACTTATAACGAGTTTTAAAGATTACCTGTATTATCTAAGAATAATTAGTACACAACAGTAATTGAGTAAGGGTATTCAATATTATTATTATCTTCCAGATATTAACGTAATATTCACAGTTTATCATTTAAATTATTATTGGTATTCATCAGACATTTTCTAGACTTATTAAACTAATTCACATTACAGTTTAGTTATTATTTAATATACGGAAAAATAATACCAATTGATTAAATAATTAACATTTTTCAGATCCGTTATGAAATTGAAATATATCAATATTTTCTTATCGAAAAAGTTTAGACAATTAGGATTATGTATTGGTAGAAATCCTTCTTACTTTATCGTCATTCCGGTGATTGTATCCGTGGTATTAGCTACGGGTCTTCACAAGTGGTACGAAGAAACAAATGTAAAATATTTAATTGCACCCAAAAATACCAGACACGTTATTGAAGAAGCCTCCATAGAAAGATTATTTGCAATGAATCTATCTTCCGATGCACACATGGGAAGGATGAACAGAGAACCAAACATAGCAGTACTTTTAGTTACGGCAAAAGATGAAGGATCTGTGCTTCGAAGAAACGTATTTCAAGAAATTATTGAACTGGATAAAACTGTCCAAAATATAAAAACTGCAGAAAATTTTACATATAAAGATTTATGTGCAAGAAATAACAAGAGATGCTTCGAGAATTCTATTTTATTAATGCAAGATGAAGTCGAAAACAACACTTATTCCATCAAATACCCTTTAAGCGAGAGAAATGAATTCGATTTTCAATTAACGAGTCTATTTTTAGGAGGAGTCGAAAAAAATGCAGAAGATTACGTTAAAAGTGCTAAAGTATTGCGGCTTGTTTATTACTTTAACGACTATTTGAAAGTTCAAAGAAGCAGAGTCGAAGAATGGCAAAATCTCTTTTTAGATCTTATTGAATCGAGTAATTTTCAGTACATAATCGTCGATCGATACACAGCGATTACAATTGAACAAGAGTTGTCTTCTGTCGTCAGTCGAATATTTCCACGAATACCGATTGCAATGTTAGCAATAGCAATCTTTTCAATGCTGACCTGTTTGTATAACAATTGGATCGAAAGCAAACCTTGGACAGGAATAATTGCATTAACGTCGGGAGGAATGTCTTTGGCTTCGTCATTTGGATTGATCATGTATTTTAATACACCGTTTGTGGCTCCTGCTGGATCTATACCCTTTTTAATCATAGGTAAGAGTTACTTAAAACTTTACGTTTTAGTTTAACCATATAAATAATAATCATTTACTTGTTAAGATTTAATTAATGTATTAAAAAGTTTGCATAATAATATAAATAATTCTACAGGATTTTTCACCAATCGCTAATTTAGGGCCTATATTTATTATATTGTTTACTTATGTTCCTATTGCTTTTATTTCGTTTATTTATTTATTATATTTATTTCGTATTGCATTTGTTACGTATTTTTCTATTGCTTCTTATAAAAAAAAAGTCTTCGGATTTTTACAATACTTTGCTGATGTGAGAGGCTAGCCATGGTAGAGAGTCTCCACTTTTTAATTGGCGGCGCAATCGGTAAGATTAGCATTGGCCCGCGGAGTCGAAGGATGGTTTTCTAAGACGTTGATAGAAGAGCAGAAGTTCGTGAGAAACCCCTGCCAGTTTGTTTTTCCTGACATCAGCCTAGATATAGTGTTAACTACGCTCGTTGTTGTTTGAGAGGAATTTAGAGTGGAAGGGTCGCGAGTAAGTGGACTGGACGATAGCTCAGATTTCCGTCAAGAATGAAACTATGCTAAATTAATAACAAAAATATTTAATAAAAGGAAATAAAATAATACGTATTATAGTACGACTTATTCGAAACCTATCTCGCGAAGAGAGATAGGTTTCGAATAAGTCGTAGTAGTTAATTATTTTAGTTAGTTTAGTTTAATGTTTCTGTTATCAGTAAGTATTTTTCTTTTTTATAACTTTTTTACCAGAATTTTTTAACGCAACTTTCGTTTCAGGAGTAGCCATGGACGACGCTTTTGTTCTTCTTGCTGCGTGGAAAAGAACCGATCCACAGAAGACCGTTCCAGACAGACTCTCAGAAGTTTATTCAGAATCCGCCATTTCTGTTACTGTAACTTCAGTAACGAATTTCATAGCTTTCATTTCAGGACTGTTTACACCTTTTAGATCCATATATTATTTTTGTTTATACGCATCAATTGCTATTCTCTTCTGTTATATTAATCAGATAACGTTCGTTGGTGCATGCATGGCGGTCTTTGGATATGCGGAGAAACAAGGAAGACATTCTTTATTCTTTACAAAAATAAGTATACAAACAGGTAAAAATATATCGAATCATTTTGTAGCACTTCCAGAAACTAATGACAATAAATTTTTCTCTCTAGAATACCACTCACGGATTCAAAAAATGTTCTTCACCGCCGATTCTTGGAAATCTACTAAAGAAACGACCACTCCTACGTCATCAATTTGGACGAAACTCGATAATATTTTATTCTTATGGTATGTCATGATAATTATTCTCCTTATCATGGCAGGACACGTAGCAGTTGGAGTTTTGGGAGTGACAAAAACAGATACTATAGGATCATTTTCCCACTCTTCTGCATACGATTCATATTACTTTCAATATCATAAAAATGTTTTTAAATATTTCAAGCATTACGAAAACAGAATCCAAATCGTTGTCGATCAAGAAATTAATTATGCAGATTTGGAAATTCAGAATCAAATAGAAAAACTTTTTTCTGAAATGGAGAGAGAAGGATTAATTGCAGATTTTCTTACCGAGTCTTGGCTCCGAAGTTTTGTGGAATTCGTCAAAGACGATTCAATGTCTGCGATCGTAAAGTCGTACAACATGAGCGACACAAAAGATTTTATTGTAGTTCTGCGCCGAATGTTTCTACGCCATCCGTATGCACAACGATTTCGTAATGATATTGCATTCAATTCTGACTATACAGCTATCGTTGGAAGCAGATTCTTTTGTCAGACTAATTTCACTGTCGACGAAAAATCGTTGATAATAACTTTACAGAGACTAAGGAAAATCACTGATAAAATGCTATTATCACTTCTTGAATTATATTGTCGACAGCATTGACTTGCATGTAAAATTTACTGTTCAATTGTTGAGTAGTATTGTGATAATTGTAATTTTTGTTTGTTTCGTTTTTATGTCAGATGTTGTCGTTACGTTTTCTGTAGCTTTTTCGATTGTTACTATAGAAATTTCCACTTTGGGTTATATGGCTCTGTGGGATGTCGAATTATCACCAGTGTCTATGATTGTCTTAGTCATGTGCTCTGGTTTTTCGGTCGATTATTCTGCTCATCTTTCTTACGCTTATAGACATTGCGACATTGAAGGCTACAATGAACGTCTTCGTCATAGCATCGATTGTGTAGGATTTGCAATATTTCAAGGTAGTGCAACTACAATAATTGCCGTGTTACCTTTAGCCATTCCATTGGCTTATATATTTGTCACGATTTTTAAAATAGTCTTTTTGGTTATTATGTTTTCTTTTATTACTGCTTTGGTATTTTTGCCGGTTATTTTATCGACACTGAATTACATGAAATCGAAAATGCGCGAAAGAAATAAATGTAGCAAAGACCTCGGCCACAGATTTGACGGTAATACAAATGTTGGTTTTCATTCGTCAGAAATTTCCACGTAAATAGCAAAGAAGGCGCTTTCCACGTTAATTAATCAATTCTAATCATTGATTCAAAATTGTATTTGGTTACAGTACAATTATTGTACAAAAATTTATACATATTCTGTAAATATAAAGGCAATAATAGATTTTCATAGAAATCATTCAAACTGAAAACTTAGCAAAAATATTTTAATCCTGGATTACTTGATCTTTCACCTATGTGCATATAAAATAATTTTATTTATTACTTACGTAACAAAGCCCGCTCTAGCGGTTACGTCGCCCAGGACTAAAAGACAAATTGCCACCCCTTAAGAATATATATACTGTATATATACCTTTTTAATTAAAGGTACATATTTTTCAATAAAAATCAAATTAATTTATTTAAATTTTAATAAAAGCATATGTTTAGAAACATAACATAACATCGATGATCAAGCAGTACAAAACAGTAGAAATTAACTAATATCTGTACCTAGCCACAAATTATTAACCATATAATTTTTTCATTTTTTAATGCTATGAAAAATGTATTATTGCACACACAATGAAAAAGCCTTTATTTTGAAAATAAAACAAGGTAATGTCAACTCCGCTAAAATCACAAAAAAGTTTTTTTCTTACTTTCTATTTCGCAAACTTTTTATTGCATCTTTTAATTTTACTTGATCAGCAATTTCATGCTCGATTGCCAACATGGCCAAACCATTAAGACGATTTCGTGTAGTAGTCAAACGTAAAAAGTTCTTAAATTTAACTTATAGAAACTCCTTTCGCTACTTGCTACGGTTATTGTTATCGCTAGCAATATTCTTAAAGCAATAGTAAGATTTGGGGCAAAATTTATCTTTGTAATTAAGCACAGTGCATTGCTTAGGCTTTCTTTTTTGCCTAAAAGCGCAGATACTGCTGAAATTTTTTCTGCTATTTAAACCCTATTTATGTCAACAGAATCACCATCAGTTAAAATGCATTCTAAATTCTTACAGTGTTTTAGTAGAATTTCTTTGGACATGATATTTAAATCGTATATATTATATAAGAATTGAAAATAGTTACTATGATTATTAAATTGTTCAAATCTATGCATTTAGTGCTTGATCGATTGTAAAATAAAACGAATTATTTTATATTTTTTTTTTACTTTTGGATCTTTCATGGGTTCATCTCGTGCATTGTATAAGAAGTTCCTTTTCCTTCTTCTAATGTGGTGTCGTGTTATTGTTGATCCAAAATCAGCCTCCTCATCAATTTCGGTAGCAATTCATTAACAATAAGGTTGAGAGAGTGGCTACTACACGGAACATAGAATGCTCGCGAATTATATTGTTTAATTCTAGATTGCACTCCTGCTTTATCGCCCCTCATATTGGACCCGTTGTCGTATCCCTGTCCTCTGATAACCTACAAATTTAAACTCAAGTCATTAAGTTCTCTAATTATGATATCAGACATTTGTTTTCCTGTGAATCTTTCGACTGGTAAGAAGTCTAAAAAGTATACATTAATTTTAATTTCAACATCAGCTTGAAATTTATTGATTGAAACATATCTGATTACAAGAGTCATTTGTCCTACCTTAATAATGTCAGGGGTACAGTCTAAAATTATGGAAAAATATTTTAATTTTTTAATTTCATCAATAATGTGAGATTCAGCCTGGGGTACAGGGTACTTTGTTTCGCCTGTATCACTTAATAGGCAACTAGTTTGTGAAACTAGTTCTCTCGGTTTCGGATCTTGTGATCCGATCCTATGTCAAGATTTTCGACCGGGAGGGCCTTTGTAATACAGGTATACCTCGCCTTACGTCGGTAATTGGTTCCAGGAAAACGATGGTTCCAGGAAAACGACGTAAGTCGAATTTACTTGTCTCCGAATCTACTTGTCACTAGGCTAAACCATAAATTACTATTCCCGGTTCTGTATTTTATTTATTAATGCATTTTTAATAATATATGGTTAATAAAAATCTATTTTAAGCTTACAAACAAATAAATTTTAGTTTTTAATATAGTACAGACAAAAGTATTCTAAATTTACGAATGCATGTACTGTAAATACAGAACATAGTAGTATATATTTTAATATGATTTTATGTGCTTTAAACGCTTTTCTAGTGATATTACGACTTCAATATTTGTGGCGAACAGACGTAAAGTCGAATAAAATGACTTAAACTTGATTTTTATTTTTCCATATACTTTTTTGACAAACGACGTATAATCGGGAACGACGTAACTCGAAACGACGTATAATCGGGAACGACGTAACTCGAAACGACGTAAGTCGAGGTATGCCTGTAGATCCAAATTGTAGGATTCGAATCTTTTCGTCAGGATGCTGACATCAGTTAATCACATTCGTCTTCCGCTTATTAACACGCGAATAGAGATCTGATTCAGGAAACAATTCAGAGACATTTCTTTTAACAGTAAAATAGTAAAATTTAATAAATCAAAAAATAACAATATTCTACAGAAAAAAAAGTAATAAACAATCAAATCAAACGATCAAGACGACGAATAAATTACTCAAACGCGTCGAGGGAGAAATATTCTTAACCTATACATTTACGAGAGAGAGAGCTCACAATTCCTTAAATAACATACAACCTGTTAAAGGAGCTTGTCTTCTTCTTATCTTGGCGAAGGTACTTCATTGATAACTTAGGATTATGTTGATAGGGGACGACTATGGCGTTGGTCTGCTGGCATATGTGTGGAGTCCTTTCCACTCTCCGATCTACGGACGAACTCATAAGGATGTTGGCCTTAGAGAGCAAATGAGTCAAGTCTTGTCACTCTCGGATCTGCCGACGAACTCCTCGAATTCGGCTGAATTTCGACTATATCTTCGGATTTACGACCAATTATCACTCTAGAATTTTTCCACGTGAACGGATGGAAAGGGGAAGAAATGAGGGGTAGACAGTTCCCATCATAACGAGATTTTTAACGGATAAGGGAAAAACAGAGGATGCTCATACTTCCGTCAAAGGAAGTGACTCTCCTAGCTGTTTTCCCACTCTAGAAAATACGTTATTTTCCCATCAAAATGAAAGAATATTTTTGTGTAAAGATTTTACTTTCCTTTTAAATTATTATTTTAGAACCGGGGGCTATTCGGATCTCACAATAATATGAGACTTTACACTTTGATGCAGCAGATCAATTATCTGGTTTTGTATATTTTTCCCGAGATAGTGAGCTTTAGTTTGTTCTTTATTTAGCATTCTGCGGATGTGCTTTTCAACAATGGAATCAAATTGAGATAGCAACTCAATTTTTTTAAAGAAATTACCGTTTTTATACTCAAACAACTTGTCACTTGCATCTTGAAAAGCCAGACCACTTTTACCAAACATTTTCATAATTGCTACGATTCTTAAAAGCAATTCGTTTCAATTATTTGTTTCGGCATTAATAATTCTTTGAGAGGCCGCATCTATAGTTTTACAACACTTTAGCCTTAGGTTCATTTCTAGCCATGATTTTTGGGCCTAAATATGATTTTTGGAAAATTCATGCTCTTTTAAAGTTTCGCCGAGGTGCTTCCAACTTTTAAAATCCTTTTTTGAAAGAGAACTAATTATACAGCCGAAAATTTTACAACAGAAGCAGTAAACGCAGTTTTGTGAAAGAGAGTACACTAGCCAGTCTCGTAAAATTTGCTCTCCATTGCTTAAAATTCGTGTATAGTAATTTATGCTAAAATGTTGACCAGTGTCATTGGAAAGAAATTTGTAATTATGCAATGGTTTAGGTGGACCTTGTCTTACTAAAAAACTTCTTTCGACGTCTCCTAAAATTCTTGGCTACAATGCTGGATCTGTACTCAACGCTTTCTGTGGGAGTCACGTTGATGTCAATGTTTTCAATGCTTTCATCTGGTGATGATAGAGTCAGAGTGTTGTCAGTTCCAATTGATTTAGAAACTTCGTCCATTTGTTTGTCATCATACTCTGACAATTTTGTATTTTCTTTTATAACCGGACTTAATGTTGAATTCTCAGAGTCGTCGTTTGTTTTGGTACAATTCTGGATATATAATTTTTTAAAGCGCCAGCTTGTTTTTGTCGTTCGGCTTCCTTTTCCAGCCTTCTTTTTTGTACTGGTAACCAGACAGTTTTCTTTGACCATTAGACATTCTGGAAGAGGCACGCATATAACTCAAATTAACAATGTAAACTATAAAATAATATTTTAAAAAATTTATCTTTGCTCTAAATAAGCTAAAACCTTAATTAACGTAACTTCAAAATTATATTCTGTCAATGAACATGAAAAATATTTATGGCCTACACATAATATTTTTTGTATCCTGTGAACGTAAAGAAAGTCTAGTGTTTTTATATATGTATTTTATAATAACAAATAATTCAGCAAACCATAATTAGTCATTAATTAAAAACAATTTTATAATTCTTGATTTT